TATAAAATACCACTGCAGCCTGGTTCCCAGGCTTGTCCCAGCGTCCCTGTGGGTTTGGCTCCCAGCACAAGCGGGAAGGGGCTTGGATGGCGTGGCCGTGATGTCTTCCTGGGTCCGTGTCTGTGGTTGTGAACTAAGGTTCTGTCATACTTACTAACGAAGCCGTGAGGACGGGTTTGTGTTAGAAAATCGCAAGGAGGCTGTAACGAACACGTTAGTATTTTCCTCTCTTCCTAGCAGTTGTGTGCTGTGTGGCCCCTGACTGGAGGAGCAGGAGCGGGGCGCCCCTGGGGTCCCCGGGCTCCAAGGGAAGGAGCTGAGCGCCTCAGTGTGGTCCGTGTGCTCCTGCGCTCCAGGCCTGCTGCGTGTGCCCGGGCTCAGGGCCCATTTCTCTTCATGGGGCTGTAGGCTCTTGAACCCACACACAGACAAGAAGCTGGTGTGAGATTACAAAGTGGGAAAGAGCAAACTCCATCACTGTGGACCTTTTCCAAGCTCCACGCAGATTTAACACACATGTCAGTGTTGATTGACTCTGTCCTGTGTGATCTGAGCTTGCTTAAACTCGTATCAGAAAGGGGGGCTCACTTCATGCACAGAGTGGGCTGTGTGCCAGTCTGTGCCCCTCGTCAGCATACTCAGAAAGGGGGGCTCACTTCATGCACAGAGTGGGCTGTGTGCCCGGTCTGTGCCCCTCGTCAGCCTCACACCAGCGCCAGCACTGGCAGGTGGCTCTGAGGGGTGTTGCTGACTTGCAGGGGCCACCTGGCAGTTGGCCGAGGGCTTCCTGCCTTGAGCCCTGGCAGTCCTGTGGCCCAGGGGCCGCCCAGGACCCCGTGGTCGTGGGCATACGGAGACGATGGGCCACCGGCTATGGGTGTTTAAAGGTTTGCACGTCGTGAGGCTGTGAGTGAAGTGGGCTGGCAGACCTCTCCTCCTCTGGGCTGAGGGGAGTCACCAGGGGTCCCACAGGGAGGGCTTGGGCTGGCGTCTGAGAGGGGAGGAGCGGAGCATCCAGTGGTGCAGGGGCCCGGCCGCAGTGACGGTGGGGGGCCAGGTGTCGGCGCCTGGGTGGGGTGTCTTAGCCGCGGTGTGGTACTTCCCTGCTCGGCTGCTCTTCACTGCCAGCCAGGGAGGTCTTGTTAGCGTGTTCGGTGTCCTTTGGGAGTCACACCCCATGAAGGGGAGGGTGTTTTAGAAAAGCACCACTGTTGGAAGGCTGAGGCTGGGACCCTGGGGGTGGAAGGGGTCGTGGGCAACAGCGCCGGCGACCTCTCCATACGTCCCTGGGTTTGTGTGTGTGGTTCAGACAGCTGCTTCTCTCCAGGACTCCACGCTGTCCACGCATTTCTGCCCAGTGGTGCCCGGTGCCCCTGTGGTCTCCCCACGCTGCCCCGTGCCTGGAGCAGGCGGGGGTCTCTCTTGAGTTGGTCATCAGGCTCCGAAACGAGTTCTGTCATCTTCCCAGAGAGCGGTTAGGGGGGACGAGCTGGGTGCGGCCTGGACACAGGCTTGACATGGGGACTGTGTTGCGCCCTGTGTCTGACGGGAGGGCAGGTGCACCAGCTCCGGAACCGGGTTCGGACAGTCGTATGCGGAAGCCGAGTGAGCTCGAGAGGCTGTCCTGCCCTGGCATTGCCGCTGCCGGGCCGTTGCTGGCTGGGCGTCGCTTTTCCGCGGCAGCCCTGCAGCCCGCACGCCGCTGCGGCTCCGGCTCCTGGACGGACCCCTCGGGGGCTGTTGCCGGCCTCCGAGGGCAGGAGCCCTGCATGCGTTGCTTTGGTCCTGACCGTTTGTCTTTGGTCCTTGGTAGTCAGTCATGTGATGCCAGGAAATTTGAGCCAAATCTGCATGCAGCTGTTAAAGTTTGCGTCAAAAATACATTCAGTGACTTCCCAGATGAAAAGAAGCACCTCTTTATGTTCTAGAGAAAGATCGGGAACTGCTGCCATCTCTTGCTGCTGAACAGTGACCTCAGTGGTTAAAATGACGGGAGACGTTTATTCTCCCGAATGGCTTCTGTGGGTCAGAATTTGGGACGTGGCTGGGTGGCCGTGTGCCCAGCCCCCGGGGAGGAGACGACGGCAGGAGGGCAGGCCCAGCTCACTGATTTCCTTTGCGAAAAGCGAGCTCGCACTGCCCGTGATTCCGACACGCGTGTGTTGTGACATGGGGCTCCTGTGCCCGGGAGACTTGCTGTGGGTAACGGGCCACCACCCGCATGCACACTGGCAGTCGCCAGCCAGCTGCTTCCTCTGTCCCGGTTACTGCCCTGCATGTTTACGCTCGGAACAGGGCCGTGTGGGAAGACGGTCTCATCAGAGGTGGTGCCCGCGGGTGCCCCACACCCAGGCGGGTCGCTGTGCCTTGGGCACCCAGCCTGCTCTGGGCATTGCAGCCCCTCCGTGCTGGGCCGCCACGCATTGTGGGCTCTCACGGGGCCAGACTGGGGGTGCATGGGCAGTGGGTGGAAGGAGCCCATTTAAGATTCTGGTCCCTTTCCTACAGGAGGTTCTTTTGAGAGACAGAAACGAGGCCTTATGGCACACGAGTCAGTGGAACTTCCATCAGGGTCCTCCCCGCAGCCAGGAGGGCGTCCAGGAGCAGACATGATGCCAGTGGGCGCACCTGCAGCCTGCTCCAGCCTCTCCTTCATGCCAGCAGCTGTCTGCCTCTGTCTCTCGCTGTGTTCTCCTGAGACTCCTCAGCTTGGGATCGGGACGCTGAGACCGGCAGGGAGGGACTGGCCTCTTCGTCCGTTCCCAGACTTTTCCAGAAAGGGCTGGGCTGGCCTGCTCGCTGCCCAGTCCGTGTACTAGGTGGCTGTGGTGGGCAGTGTGTGGCTGGGGAAGACGAAGCCCGTTTGCTCTGGAAAGGACAGCCTAGTTTGATCCCTTGAGTTGGACTGGGCGTCCCCTGGAGGGACCGGGGACTTCCTGGCTTGGTTCCCCTTTTGTATCGTGAGGGCTGCTGGGCCTGTGTCCCTGCTGCGCGGAGCCCAAGCGCCCCCTCTGGGGGGGGGATTTCCTGTGAGCGGCCGGTGACTGCCGAGCCGGAGCAGCACGCAGTGGCCCCAGGTCGGGGCAGAGCCCAGGCCGACCCACGAGGGCAGTGACAGCCCCTTCTCTTGGGGCTTCACGCTGCCAGCTCGGGGGTCCAGCCACGTGTCCTGGGGCCATCTGACAGGCATGTGGGGAGACCCAGGCTCTCCTTCCACGGCCGTGTCCTCAGCTCTGTGGTATTTGGTGTCCCGTGGCTCTGTTCGCTGGGACCAGCCTGGTGTGGGCTCCGTGGCCCAGAGAGTCGCTCCGCAGAGCCTGATGGCTTCCTCCCGGCCAGCAGTGCTCCAGCCCCTCCAGGCCTCTGTCTGTGGCCGTCTGTGTGGGCATGCGCTTGGCTCCCTCCGCTTCCGTGGAAGGGGGGATTTTGGAGAGTTCAGGAAACGTGGCTCATTTGGGTGTTGCCAGGCTCTGCGACGGGCCTGACTTCCATCTCGGGTTTCCCGTGTAGATTGTGCATTTTGGGTACACTTGGTGCGTTCTCCGGGCACCATGTGGCGACAGGGAACCCGTCCCCAGGACACTGGCAGGTCTGACCTCCGTCGTCTCCTGTGCCACAGGGCTCAGGCCAGCTGTGCCTGTCCGGAGTCCCTACCCCACACATGCCTGGGAGATGTCCCTCCGGAGGCTGCCAGCCTCAGGCCCCTCCAGGGTGGGAAGGGGCCTCAGACACCCTGGCTTCCTGGACAGACAGGACGAGGCTAGAAGGTGTACTCAGATCCCTTCATGGCAGGCTCAAACACCCGCGAGGAAAGTCCAGGCACCCCGCACAGACTTGTGAGCTTCTGTGGACGTGCGGCTTGTGTGGGGGTGTGTGTGGTCACTGTGTGCACACAGGCGTGAGTCCCTGGACACTGGGGCGTTCTTGGGCAGTGCTCCCGCTAGGCCAGGGCCAGAAATCCCACTGCCCTGGTGACTGGTGGTCAGAGGCCTGGGCAGGAGGGAGAGGAGGCTTGTCTGCAGGGATCGGTTGGCCTGTGTTGTGGTTTGTGTGCACATGTATGTGTGTATTTATGCACATGCATGCACACGTGTGAGTGTAGGACGTGTGTGCACGCATGTGTCTGAGTGAGTGAATGCATGAGGAAGTTGTGCACTGGTGTGAGTATGTGCGTGTGGCAGGGCGCTGTCCGGCAGAGGCTCCGTGTTCCAGGACCCACCTGCTCTGGTTCGGCGTGGAACAGGCACATCTTCGATGCCTGGTGAGGATGCACTCGGTATTGCCAGCCGCCAACACCAGATGCCCACCGTGCGGGGTGCCCGCAACGAGCTCGGGCGAGTCTCGAGTCTTCTGATGAAAACTCCAGGAAAGCTGATGCAGGGCGCGAGTCGGGGACTCATCTGGGACACGACTCCCTGCAGCATCTTAGTGTGATTGCGCACCTTGGGTAGTGACGTTACTCTCCTGGTGCCCCCGGCATGCTGCGCTGTCAGCGGGCACCACCGAGCGGGCACGGCCTGGGGTCTGTACGTGGACACCCTGCTCAGGACATGGGGGTGCTGGGATGGACCTGTATGCCGCCTGGCCCCTGCCCACACCCCTCTTGCACACGGAAATACATCCCCGCAATTTCCGGAGGAGCGAGCCCTGCTCTCAGGTCGGGTCACCAGTCTGCTCTCATGATGATCAGATGAATTTTCATGCCCACCCGAGGTGCAGCTCCACCAGGTGCAGGGACTGCCATGTGAATACGTGTGCCGACTTAATGCACAAAAGCTGTATTTCATTAATGTCACAGGGGCTAAGCTTCGCAGGCTGACGCCTCAGAGGCTGAGAGGGCCCTGTGTCCCCTGCACGGGCTTCTGATCTGCTTGCGTGACAGTGACTGCGTTGTCTCTTTACTGCTGTGTTTTACGCCTCCCTCGCACAGCCCGGCTTGTTACAAACTGTAGCTTTGTCGCTCTCAGACGCCCTATTTACTGTCTTGTTGCTCTCTGCAGGCCGGTCTAATTGAAGCCAACGGGGAACTCAAGGTCTTCATAGACCAGAACCTTAGTCCTGGAAAAGGTAAGGCGCTTCTTTTCCAAATACGATTCTGTGGATGAGAGTGTTAGGGTTGGTGTATTTGTGAATTTCTCTGGGATGAAAGCCCCTGTCAGGCGTGGGGGTCCTGCTTTGGGAGCACTCCTTCCTGGGGCGCTGCAGCGCTTGGCAAGCAGCTGGCTGCATCGCCTGCGGGCACCCGACAGTGTGGGGCTCTTACTGTCTGCAGAAATTCAGGAACATGGAGAACCCACGTCATGTGCTTTCCTCCACCTCACAGGCGCCATGAGTCCTCCAGGTGTCTGCTCTGGACTTGGCCACCAAGCAGAAGGGCCTTGAACTCAAGGCTGGTGGTGCCCCCCTCACGTGCCTCTGGGTGCATGTCTGCCCCCCCAGGAAGCCATGTGTGTATGTGTGGTGGCTCGCTGGAATTCAGGTGGACTTGGAGGGGGACGGGTCCAAGCCACTTCTCCCCCCGGGGTCCCATGCTCTCCCTCCTGGAGTGACGGTGACGAACATCTGCCCACTCAGCTGTCTCCGGGGGCACACTAGCCGTGGCAGTGCTGGACCAGAGGGCACACACCTTCCAGCGTTGATCTGTGGCATCTGGCGCTGAGTGGCTGGGTCACTTCTGTGACCCACCTCCGCTCTGCCTCAGCCGGACTGAGGCCCTGACAGGTGACCCCTTGGCTCCTGCTGTAGCTTCGGGGGAACGTCGCAGCCCCTTCCCATCCATCTGGTGCTGGTGAGCCAGACAGGAGTCCAGCCATGCCCTGCCTTGGCGGGGCCCTGCCCCCTCTACATCAGGATGTCCCCTTCCGAGGCTCATGGAGGCTCCCCTGCCCCAGCTCAGCAGGTTTGCCTCCTCGTCACGCTGGCCACTCTCCCGGACGGCTGTGGGCGCAGCGTGCGCTCCAGATCTCTGTGTTTGGAAGGTTGCAGGCAGCGTCCTGCTTTTCTGCACATCAGTTCCTCCTCCTTCCCTTCCTGTCGAAGGACGGGAGGCCCCGCGGGGGACTCCGTGTTTGCAGCCAGTTTTATCTCGATCGCTCTCACCATTCCCGGGTGGCTTGAGCGAGCTGCTGCAGTCTAACTAATTGGACACTTAGAATTTCAGGACTTGCAGGCGTGACGTCCTTAGTGAAAGTGACAAAGCAGAAGTAATAGTGAAAACACCGTGAACTCTGCTCCCTTGGAAATGGTGGGAGTCTCTCATCCTGGCTTGCTGTTTGGACGCTCCTGAAGGTCTCTCCCGGATCACGGGCTGCCTGTCTCCTTTCCTTTCTTACGAACAGATCTGTGCTTGAGCCTCACTGGGTTTGATGGCGAGGCGGCGGGTTGCATTGGAGGGACGCGAAAACAACAGCTTCTTGAGTCTCCTAGAATATTCTGGTGCCAGCTCCCTGCACCGTTAAAGGATTTTGTGTGTTCTTGGGTGCAGTTTGGTCCAGCGGGTCCTAGGCTCCGCTCACGGCTGGACCTGCTGCCCCTCGAGGCTCCTGCCTTCTGTCTCTGCTTCCGCGTCTGCCGGGACCAGTGCAGCCTCCCAGGCGCTGGGGCTCCTGCCCCCGCGCCTCCGGCGTGTTTTGGGTGCCAGAAGCCCCTGGCCTCGTGTCAGTGATGCGCTCCCCGCGTTGGCCCTGTGAACGCAGGCTGCGTGCTGCCAGGCTCCCGCTCCTTCCGGAAAAGTGCTTGTTCGTAAACGGAGCTATTTGTCTGTTGGACGGGCCGGCAGGTGCTGCTCTGGCCACGCAGGCGGTAGGACCAGGCTGTCTGCCGCGCTCTCCTGCGGGGTCTGTTCCACCCACAGCGCCTTTCCCTCTGGCTCGGGGGCTTCAAATCTAACTTTAGGCAGTGTGGTACTGACTGGAATGGTCGCTTTGGGTTATTCGCTAGTGTTTCATTAGGTTGGGGACCCGCGGGTGTCACGCTGTGTCGTTTGCCCCGCGGTCACTGTGGGCACTTCCCGAGGAGCACTGGGCGGGGGCTGAGCCAGGGTCGTGGTGAGTGAGGCCCAGGCCCCCGGCACAGGCTCGTCTAGCAGTCTCTGGAGGGACTGTGAGGGGCAGGAGTTGGCTCTCGCTGGGCAGTGGGGGTCGGGGGTCACAAGGAGGGACGCAGCTGGTCCTGGTGGAGGCTGGGCCTTGAGGGGCAGGGGCCGGTCCTGCTTCCTGTCCCCATACGCTGTGCCCACAGGCCGGCTCACAGCTGCTCCCAGGTCCACCGCCAAGAGTTCGAGAGCCTCAGTGACCCTGCCAACCCAGCTGAGGGGCCGGGGCTGGTGAGCCCCCCCCCGAGGTGAGGCTCCGCCGTGGCTGCGCCTGCCCGAGCTCTGGCTGTGATGCCCCCTCCCGCTGGGCTCCTGCACGCTCCTGCTTCCTGGGTTCTGGCCTCGACTCTGCTCCCGTCTCGGCCTCCAGGGCCGCCCATGCCTTGGCCTCACTTGCTGCTGCTTGCTGCTACGTGTAGCCCATTTCCAGATCCCCGTGTCCGCAGGCTTGCCCAGAGGCGGAGCCCGCGGGAGGCACGTGGGGAGTGGGAGAGAGGCTGGTTGTGTGGGACCGGCCCCTGTGACAAGGGGGCTGGCGGGCCGGACACAGGCAAGAGCTGGGGCTGTGGCCTCGAGGTGGAGGAGACCTCGGGTGTCTGGTCAGGGGGCTCTGGATGGCGGTCTCCCCCACCTAACGTCGGCGTACGGCTGGTCTGTGACTGGATAGCTGGGGACGGGCGCCTTGGCCCTCACAGCAAGTCGGTCGTCATACCCGCGAGATTCAAAGAGCTGTTTTCCGCAGACCGGTGCGCTGAAGTCACAGCCTCCTGTGCCCACGGGCCCCAAAGACCGGAGCCCCCAACGTGGTCCAGGACGGTGAAGTTCACAGTCTTCGCTGTGACAGCCATTGGGTCGTTCCATCAGGCTTCGCTGATGGTTCTGATGCTGGTGGTTCTGCCCACGCTCTGGAGTGAGAGCCGGGGCACGGGGCGCATGTGCGTGGCCGCACCACACAGGTGGGCACCGCTTTTGCTGCGGTTTCAGGTTCTGGCGGCCCAGTGGGTGTGAGCCCCCTCGCTCCCGGCCTGCCCTGCCAGTTGGGGTCCGGCCAGGTGCTTTGCCGGCACATTTTGTTGCTGCGGTTCCTGCCGGGACCTCCTCTTTCTGCTGTGCGGCTGCTGCCCCGGGCTTCGGGCCACGTCCCTGCCACGCGCGCACCCACGGCCTCCCGTTGTGCCCACGGCCCGCCTGCCCTCCGCACAGAAGGAGTCCAGGGCCACGGCCCTCTTCCTCTTCTCCGGCCTTGCGTGCACTTTGTGCGTCTCGCTGAAGAAACACAGCTAACAATGTAAACGTGTGTTTAAGCGTGTGTTCGCCATTTTGGACATGCTTTCCTGACATGTGTGTGTGTGTGTGTGTGTGTGTGTGTGTGTGTGTGTGGTGTCTGCACACGCTAACCCTCCCTGCGGCGTGTGACTTTGCTCTCCGCAGCCGGGCCCTTTCCGGCAATTTCCCGTGCTGCCTTTGTCGCTGGGCCTCTTGATGGAGCGCTCTGGTGCCCGTTGAGTGTTTTCCCCGAAGGGCTGTGCGCCCCGAGTGCCCGGTGCGGGAGGCCGCCCCTGCGGAACGCCGCGTCCTGCGTCCGTGGCCAGGTCTGGCTGGTCACGGGGCCTGTGCTGTGACGTCTGCTGTTTTCCTTCCACTTCAGTGTTGCCCTTCCCCTGAGGACGGGCTCTCAGGGGGGAGACGTGCACATCCGTGATGGGCCGGCAACGGGTGTTACGGGATCATTCCTGAGACGCGGGCCCCGCAGCCTCCCGGACATGCGCGGGCCTGCCCAGTTGGCTGTGGGGGGACGCAGCCCGGCCCCACCGCGGCCGCCCTCCCAGGGAGCGCAGAGCCGAGGCGCCGTCTTTTGAACGCAGAGGACATCTGGAGCACAGAGTGAGGTCATGTCCCACCCACCGGACTCCACCGCCGGGCTCGCCAGGAAGACCGGTCTTCAGAGGAGACGCGTCACAGAGGAGGCCCCGAGAAGGGGAGCACCTCAGCTTGGACCCTGGGGCCTCAGAGACTGCCTTGCGGGGGCGGGGCCGCGGGGGGCTCGTGTGTCTCTGTGACCGCTTGGCTGAGCGCTCGGGGTATTTGTAGTGTGGCGGGCAAGAGTGCAGCTCTTAGGCTACTAGGTTCTTAGAACTTAAAAAGAGTTGAAATTATTTTCAAGAAGACATTAAACCTTATGATTTCATAATCTATCTTAAAACCCATAGATGTTAATGGATTGTGATTGCTAATTATAACAATATGCTTATGTAATATTTTTGGAATCCTTTTTCTGTTAATAATTATAGCAGTTCAGACCGCATATGTTCATAACTTCTTTTCTTGCCCAGAAAGGAATTCCCCATTTCGTAACGTTGTAGTTGACAGTCTTTCAGGGGTGGCTGGGTGGCTCAGTGGGTTGAGTGACCCACTTTGGCACAGGTCGTAATCTTGTGGTTTGTGAGTTCGAGCCCCTCATCGGGCTCTGTGGGGACAGCTCGGAGCCTAGGGCCTGCTTGGGCTTCTGCGTCTCCCTTGCTCTCTGCCCCTCCCCCATTCGTGTTCTCTTTTTGTCTCTCAAAAAGTAAACATTAAAAAACACTTTATTAGATAGTTCCTTTAATAGAAGGCTCTAAGTAGATTTTATGGTTTAAGTAGTAGTTTTGCTAATGAGTAGATTCCTAGGCTGTGCTACAGGTCAGCCATCTGGTAAACGGGAGTGTAAATAGGTCGAGCGTGGTGGTCTTTGTCAGAAAAGGACGTTAAGCGCTCTGATTTCTGCGGCTAGATTAAACCAAGAACGAATCCTGTCCTTGAGATTGTTATAAAGTGACGTGTCTTTTTCCTGAGTCAGCAGTTGGTAGAAACCCCAGAGAAGGGGACACTGGCTGCCTGGGTGCTCACGTGTGTGTATGTGTGAACTCGTGTGTGGTACATGTATGGTGTGCACATGTGTGCACGCGTTTGCACGTGTGGTATGTGTGCATACTGTGTGGTGTGCATGTATGGTGCGTGCATGGTGTGTGGTGTGTGGTGTGTGCGTGTGTGGTGTGTGCAGGCATGCGTGTGTGCCATGCATGTGTGTGCTGTGCATGCACGCGTGGTTGGTATGTGCGTGTGTGACGTGCATGTGTGGAACGGCCCTGTGGAGGTGCTGTGTGGAAGCCTAGAGCACAGACAGTCCCCTGGCACACAGATCCCCTTGGGTGCACCGTGAGGAAGGTCATTGGGAGAGAATGGCCAGAGCGCATCCATTAAGCCTTGATGTTTGCGGGCAGAGCCAAGTGGGGGCAGGCATGGGGCAGGTCTGTGGACCGGACGGTTAGCTCTGCTGGTCAGGCCTCTTGAGCAAACAGGATGAAAGGAAAATAGTTAATTCTAGGCTGTACTGGGGAAAGACTGCGTGGTAGTTCTTTGTGTTGAAGAGCCTCCCACTTAGTAAAACAAGGAGACCACAGGTGGTGTCGGCCAGCGGGTGGGGAGGGGGCCTGGCCCCGCTCCTTCTGCCTTCCCGCCCTGCTGCCGCCCTGGCGGGCCGGGAATGGGCGTCCCAGGCCGGGGCTCTGAGCGCCTGGTTTTATAGGTGGGTGTTCCCGTGGTTCTGGGCGCCCAGTGTTGTCCCCTGTGGTCGCGCCTGTGTCTCTAGCCCAGACGTGCCCAGGTGTTCTGACTTCGCTCATTTTACACGCAAGGTCGACTTTATGATACAATGTCGTAACAGCTGCCAGGGCTGCTGGTGTTGACGGGGTCATTTGGAAATTTTTAAAAAACCCAATTTTATTTTTTAATGAATCAATTCAATATTCTTAGAAACCTACTAGTAACCTGCTTATAGTCTGAAATGACTGACATGTTTGTGTTTTAAATCTCTGTGCAAAATAGAATAACTTTATTTTTGTTTTTTAAACTCTTAATCTAAAACAATTGTTAAAAGTTTGCTTTTGGGGGCGCCTGGGTGACTCAGTTGATTGAATGTCTGACTTTAGCTCAGGTTGTGATCTCCTGGTTCGTGAATTTGAGCTCCAAGTGGGGTTCTCTGCTGACAGTTCAGAGCCTGCTTTGGATCCTCTGTCCTCCCCCCACCTCTGGCCATCAGCCCAGAGCCTAACTCGCCATCAGCCCAGAGCCTAACTCGGGATTGAACTCATGAACCGTGAGATCGTGACCTGAGCCAAGGTTAGACACTTAACCAACTGAGCCACCCAGGGCCCCTTGGAGTCTATTCTTTAAAACACATGGACTGTAAAGGGTTCAAAAATGAAACTTAGACCAGGCTAGATTGAAGACTGTGTTTACTGCTTATTTGGGGCAGAGCCCATGAAGTGAAGGAAACGCCATCTGACGTTGGCCTTGTGCGGGGAACCCCCCTCCCCCCGGCCAGCTGGTTCCTGTGCTCACCCGTGGCGGCCACGGGAGGCTGTTCTGCTTCAGGACCCGGGGTGGGGGGGTGCTGGGTGTGGCCAGAGCAGGGCTTTCCCCTCTCCCTGTGTGACAGGGACCTGGGATCTTTCCGGCTCTTCCTGAGCGTGCAGGCCCTTCTCTGTAAGGGGTGGACCGCGTACACGCTGCCCGCCTCCCGGGCTCCCTTCAGGGCCTGCCCTGTGCCTTTCCCCGGGTCCCACCACCCTCTGTTCGTGCTCCCTCGTTTGTTTCTCTGCCTTTGATGCCGGCACAGCAAGGGCTTTGTTTTTTATATTTTGAGTTTTTACATTTCTACTTTGTTTGATTTTATTATTCGATATGTAAAATAAAATGTTTTACTATTTTTATTCACGGTTGTGTCTCTAGCACTCAGGACAGAGCCAGGCACACAGAACTCTGTGCAGATGCCTGTGAAGGAGGGAATGTGTCTCATGTACCCTCCCCCTCATTTTGTGAGGAGACGACCTGAGTCTTCAGAGAGGCCACAGCTTCCTCAGGCATTTTTCTCCCTAGAAACAGACACGTGGTTCTGTTGCTCCAGGAGAAAGAGTGGTAGATTTCTAAACGAGCTTTGCGAACCTGTAAGGAAATGCTGGAATACAAGTGACTTCTAGTCTTACGACTGTAATTGTCACAGAATTATAGACTTTTAGAGCTGCCCTCCCCAGACCCTGCAGTCCTGCCAGAACATTCTCTAGGTGAGCAGGCAGCCTTCCAGGGGCTCAGGGCATGGTTGGCAATGTGCCTGGGCCGCCTGAGCCCCATCCCAGGGACGCCAAAGCACCCAGGAGGGGCTGGTGGTCACGTCTACACAGACAAGGCTGCAACTTAGTAGCGGCCTCTGTGACTCACCCGCAGATGCGGAGCGGTGGAAGTGGGGACGGTGAGAATCTCTGACTGGAAGTGCCATTACCCTGCAGCCTCGGCCCAGGAGGGCGCTGACCTGTTACCTCCTTGTGTTGCAGGCGTGGTGTCCTTGGTGGCCGTCCACCCCTCCACGGTGAGCACGCTGGGGAAGCAGCTCTTGCCAAAAACCTTCGGACAGTCCAATGTCAACATCGCACAGCACGTGGTAAGGGCCCCGGGCTGGCGGCTTGCAGGCTCCGCTGCGGGGTTGGGCTCCCTCTCCAGTGCCCACAGCGCTGGCACGGCCGCCCGCCTCACACTGTGGGAGTGTGTGCCTGCGGGGTATGTGCTCCCCTGGCTCGGCCCCACGCCTGCCCCAGAGCTCGGGGGCTGTGTCGCCCCCTCCTGGAAAGTGAGGGTGGTGTCCTTGCGGAACTCGGGGCTCTGGGCCGTCAGGCGCCAAGGCAGGTGTGTCCCTGCTCTGGGGACCATGCTGGGGGCCCCCCGCGGACTGGGCACCTGTGGGACTCAGCGGGCCCTTGCAGACGGATCTCTGGGCAGACCGAAGCAGCCCCTACCCTGGGCAGGCGCAGCATTGAGAGCAGAATGTTCGCTGCCCACCTGAGCGCCCGCCCCTGGGTGCACATTCCCAGCAGCTGAGGACATGCCTGTCACTTACCCTGTCGGTGAAGCGGGACTGCTTTTCTTAGCAGAGTGGCTGGGGTTTTCTCAAAGCAATGACACGTTGAAGTTCTAGGCCGTATTTGGCTTACCACAGCCTTTTATTTTTATTTTATTATTATTTTTTTTAATGTTTTATTTATTTCTAGGAGAGAGAGAGAGAGACATCGTGAGCAGGGGAGGGTCAGAGAGAGAGGGAGTCACAGACTCTGAAACAGGCTCCAGGCTCTGAGCTGGCAGTCAGCACAGAGCCCGACGCGGGGCTCGAACCCACGAACCGCGAGATCATGACCTAAGCGAAAGTCGGACGCTTAACCGACTAAGCCACCCAGGCGCCCCTATCACAACTTTGTAATAAGTGTCTTCCTGATATAAGTTAAATATTCCACTCTGTGCTTTATTCTGTAACTCATTTTATTTGTAGGTGCTACGTAGTCTAGCAGCTTTAGCTTGGGAACACCTCCTTGATTGTAGGAGCAGCCTGCTTTCGCGGCCAGTGTAAACAGTAGGGAGGAAAGTTAAGGAGGACTTTTCTAACGGTGCCTTATCAGTCTGAGAGTTAAGCCCCTGGTCTGGGTCAGGCTGCTTCGAGGGGGAGCTAGTGATGGTAACTCCTTCACAGATCCCAGCGGTCTGAGCTAGGCGTCTCTCAGCCTTCACCTGACACAGGACTGGTGACGAAAGGGTTGGCGCTTTGTGACCTGAGAGCCAGAGCTTTGTCTTCGTGTGATGCGAACGCGCTCAGACTCTTGAGGTGCTCGCCCCCAGCCCTGCCTGAGGCAGCACCCATGGGCCCAGTTTCAGGGAGAGCAGTTAAGACTGGAGCTTCCTGTCATCCAGGGAGGCCACGCTCACAGTGAGCAGCTCAGTGCACCTGCTGTGTTTGCATTGTGGAATGGAGGCACCGAGAGGTCCAGCCGAGGGAGACGACGGGGGCCAGGGTGCTGGCCTGATGGCAGGTAGCCCTCTGTGGCTCTCCTGCCGTGCACGTGGGCGCTGGCGTCCCAAATCTGCTCTCCTGAGAGTGTAACCAACCACGTCCATGTAAAATGTGTCCAGTGCCTGCCCGGAGCGCACGCCATGGCCACACCACGTTCCCCACGGTGACCGAGGGCCCCGTAAATGCACGCGCTTAACAAAAGCGGAGGTTCATGAGGCACATCTCCTCTCCGCGGGTTTGTTCTCTCTTCCGTCCTCTTTTCTTTTTTCCAGAACACTTGCTAAGTGATTTCACAGCTTTTGGATGAGGGTGGTCCCCCATTTGGAAAACACTGTGATGGACTTTAATTATTGGAAATGAGAATGAAAAGAAGGAAACGGAGTTGAGCATTTTTTCTTTCTCTGGCTAATGGGTCATTAGCTCTGACAGGTTACCTGGCCCAGGGATCAGAGTGCTTGCTCAGCTGTCCCGCGGCCACAGCACACATGTGCCGCTAAGCAGGGGTGTGGGGAGCACCCCCAGCCCACACAGCAGACCTGGCAAGTCCCTAGGGCCGTGCCTGCTGTCCCTGGGGCCGTGCCTGCCTCCCCCCCCCCCCCCC